CTAGGTGCAAAACCTACCGCTAAAACCCGCGAGCAATGTACCATGCACAAGGGCGCCGGGTGCAGTGTCTGTGTGTCCCTGACTGACCTGCAGCGGTGACGCTGTCACAGAAAGCACCTGTTCATTGCCCAATGGATCCAGCCCAGTTCCGGCCGGCCGAGTGCCCGCACGTACGCAGCCAGTGTTACGGTCTGTGTTCCATCTATGTTACGGTCTGTGTTCAATCTATTTTACGCCCTGTGTAACGACCAGAGCCTATTTTAAGGGAATTTGACTGGGGGGGGGGGGCAACCTGGAAAATTGTCTTTAATAATCCATTAACCCTCGCCCGTATTGGTGTTTCCAGTAGCGAGCGTATTGGGTGGGGGGACTGTTGGCCCCTGATCGAGCTAGAGCTTCGCGGAAAAAAACGACCGTGTTGCCCGTGATGAAAGGAAGCCGATTATACCCAATTTTAAGGTCCTAGGTCATCGGTTGACCTTCCAGGTCAGGTCATTGACCCAAAAGTCGGGAAAATCGGGACCTGTTAGAGCGTCGTAAAGAGTGGCCGCTATGGTTTTTCGGGGTGCTGATCACGAATATCATGTAAGTTATGATCATAGATGATGTCTTCATGCATTTAGGCCAGGTCAGGTCAGGTCAGGTCAACCAGTAAGGGTTTTGCCGGGTATTCGTAGTAGGTGGCAACCGCCTCTGACAGCTTCGTAACATGTTACGAAGGCACCAAAACTACTTCGTAAATGGTCAAATGGTGCTTAATTCGAATTCAGCTCCAAAAACTAGCCTAGAAACATATAAAACTCGAAAATGTGAACCGAGGTCATCAAAGGTAAATGATCTGACCTGACCTTCCGGTGATCTTGACACCCACCCTAATGCATGGGAGCAACATCATATCCCATTGTGACGGACCAGATACGTTTATATATCGATAAATATCTTCCAGTGGAAGAGCTGATGATGAATCAAATATTTCGCCACATTGGAAGAACCTTTAAACGTGTATTTGTCTCGCGGATTTTATTTTTAGTTGTTTGGTGCGACCGCTGAACTTTGCAAAACAGGCGATCGATTTTCATTCTTTATTATTATCAGTATAAATTTGCATACATTTGGTTTAAAACGAATAAACAGATGTGTTGCGCAATTTTGCTGGTATGATGAATAGAAGAAGATCGCCTCGGTGGACAAACGAGTCCGCTACATCATGAAAATCGATCATGAATTGCCAACTAACTCATGACCTCAAGATGGATGCCAACGATGCCAACAAGACTAATGACGAAACTTCGAGCTGCAAGTCTCACCGATCGAGCTATACGACGGTATCACGAGCGTCTGCGAGATCGGTCAGAGCTGCTAGTACACGACTGCGGCAGTTAGAAGAGCAGCAACGGCTTGAAGCAGCAGCCGAGGAATCTAGAAGACAGCTGGCGGAAACGAAACGACAGCTGGAACTAGCCAGAGCAAGACACGCGCTGGAACTTGCCGAGATCGACGAACAAGATCAGGTAGAAATGGAGGAATGTGCACGATCCCTCCGTCATTCTTCTCAAGACGTGACACGGTGTGACCTGACGAATGCCATTGAATCCCAGCCAGAGAACGACAGTCGCCGGATATCAACTCGGCTGGAACCTGAGCAGGTCTCGCACTGGCCTGAGCCAGTCTCGCACCGGCCAGAGCCACCCTCGCACCAACCTGGACCAGACTCACACGTACTTGAACCAGTCTCACACCGTCCTGATTCAATCTTCATCGTGAGAGAAAACCCCAAACTGGACATTCTGCCCTTCGATGGAAAGTACAGCCGCTATCCATTTTTCAAGCTTCAAGTCGATGAAGCCATGAGATCCGGCCAGTTCACCGACCTGCAGATAATTCGTCATCTGCGGGACAGACTCAAGGGGCCGGCCTTTGAAGCGGTACATGGAGCTCTCCTGTCTGGGTGTCCTCTGCTGAGGATTATGCACGCGCTCGAGTCTCGCTTCGGGAACCGCCTGCAAGTGACGAACGCCGTAACGACTCAGCTCCTGAACTTCGACACGATACGATCGAGCGACACAGAACTGCTCTCTCAGTTCGGCACGGCAGTGTATAACGCTATATCAACTCTTCAAGCAGTCGGCTTTGAGAGCGAGTTGGACAACTTGCGCACGCTGCAGTTGTTGACGGGAAAGCTGCCACTGGAGAGCCAGCAAGCTTGGGGCGCCTACGCTCGGCGCCGATGTGAAGACGGGAGGAAGCTGTCGTGCGGTCTTTTCCACGAGTTTCTGGAAGAGCACATAAAGGATCGACAGTATGGCGTCATCGGCAGCAGCCTGCAATGCCATCCGTCACATGATGTCAAGAACCGCTCCGGCAGTCGCGGACGCACGAGCAGACGCGACCGTCACGAGCACCAACGAGAACGCCATGGCTACTGTGGTAGATTGTCACACAGGCCACAGCCTCTTGGCTGGCGTGCCTGGGTGCGCCACTGGCCGCCCTATCCGTCGTCCCTGAGAGCGGGCTTGCGCTCGCTTGACCTATAGCCGGGGGCGCTCAGCTGTGCGGTGTGGGTTGAGTCTGGTCAGCTGATCGAGTGGGAATACAGTTCTGACCGGTGATCGGAGGAGTGTGGTGCTGTGGTGCCGAGCTTAGTTCACGCTATAACATTGGCGACGAGGTATTTGAACAGAAGAAATTGAAATGCCGGTGGGCAGAGTAGAGCCATTTAATGTGGAGAAACTAACGACCCATTATCACCCCAAGCCGTCGGTAACGGTCGCACGGTTTCGATTTTTTTCATGCTACCGTCTACCAGGAGAATCGATACAAACGTATATCGCTCGTCTCAGACAGTTCGCTGGTGATTGTCAGTTCGGTACATTTCTAGAAGAGATGATTCGCGACCGACTCGTATGTGGTGTGAAGTCTGACCTGATCCAGTCCAGGCTGTTGTCAGAACCCGAGTTGTCTCTGAAGAAAGCGACAGAGATGGCGGTAGCCATGGAGACAGCCAGTCGGAATCTGCAGGAGCTGTCGGGAGCGGAGGCGGCCGATCCGCCGCGACAAGAGGTGCAGCAGATTCGGTCACAGCAGCGGAGCCGGCCGACCGCGGCGGGGCCAGCGACACAGCAGCGAGCTCCAAGGGGCCCAGCTCAGCAGACTGGCATGACACATCACACAAGTAAGGCCTTGGAGGGCGGGAAAGATAAGTGCTGGAGGTGTTTGAGTAACCGGCATGCAGAAGAGGACTGTTATTTTCGCCGAAAGAAATGCTTTCAATGTTTTCGTTATGGACACACCAGTGCAGCCCACCGAGCTGGCACGGTGAACAGTGTGGGGATGTTACCCGAGTCTGAGTCACAGGAGGGTGCCGAGGGTGGACTGGAGATGGAAGTAGAGACTGGTGAGGTTGACGCTCTGGTTAGCGATCTGTTCACATGTGCAGAGGAGCGGCCGAGTCCGGTGAAGCCTCCAATCAAGGTCGACGTCAGCATCAACGGTCAGTCGGTGCAGATGGAGCTGGACACCGGCGCCGCCGTCTCCGTCTGCACGTACCGCCGCTTCAAGGAGCTCTGGCCGGACGGAGACAGGTTGCTGCAGCCGAGCAGCCGTCTGCTTCGCACGTTCTCCGGTGAGAAGCTCTCAGTCCGAGGTGAGGCGTGGGTGAACGTGCTGTATCAGGGTGTCAGTCATCGATTGCCATTGACTGTGGTGGAGAGTAACGGTCCGATGTTACTAGGCCGTAACTGGTTGGGAGAGATCAAGTTGGACTGGCACAATATTTTTGCGATGACTCTGAGTCCAGCCATGGGAACACTGCTCGAAAAATACTCCGAGCTATTCAAGGACGATCTGGGCTGTGCGAGGGATGTAGAGCTCAGCATTCCAGTGGATCCAGCCGTGAAGCCCATCTTCTACAAGCCTCGGACGGTGCCACTCGCCTACCGGGAGAAGGTGGACGCCGAGTTGGAGCGGCAGATCAAGGAAGGTTTGTTGGTGCCGGTCAAGTGGAACGACTGGGCGACGCCCATCGTGACCTGCCAGAAGGCCTCAGGTGAGATCAGAATCGCAGCAGACTATCGTCTCACAGTAAACAAGGTCACGCCGTTAGAAAAGTATCCTCTGCCAAAAGTAGACGAGATGTTCAGTAAACTGCAAGGTGCGACAGTGTACAGTCAGATAGATTTGAAAAATGCGTACAACCATCTGCCATTAGAGGAGAAGAGTCGCAAATATTTGGCCATAAACACACACAAGGGCTTGTTGGTGCCAACCAGACTGGGATACGGGTACGCGAGTGCTCCGGCCATCTTTCAACGTTATATGGAAACTCTCTTGGCTGGAATACCAGGGGTGGGAGTGTTCCTGGATGATGTCATGATCGCTGGAAAAACCCCACAGGACCACCAGAACTCGCTGGAGATGGTGCTACAGCGGCTGGTGGCGGCCAACCTGCGCCTGCAAAGAAGAAGTGCAAGTTTGGAGTGTCATCTATCACCTACCTGGGACACCGCATCAGCGCGGACGGCGTGAGTCCGACCGACGACAAGGTCAGTGCTATCAAAAACGCACCCGCTCCAAAAAACTTGAAGGAGCTTCAGGCCTGGCTAGGGTTGATCAATTATTATGCCAAGTTTGTGAGAAATCTGTCCACCGTGCTGGCACCACTGTACCGCCTGCTCAAAAAGGGAGAACCCTGGCAGTGGGGACCCGATCAGAAGAGCGCGTGGCTGGCGGGGAAGAGCCTGCTGCAGTCTACGCAGGTGCTGGCTCATTTTGACGAGACGGCACCGATCGTGCTGTCTTGTGATGCCTCTCCCTACGGGGTTGGGTGTGTCTTGAGCGTGGTTGACAAGCGCCTGGGAGAGAGGCCGGTAGCCTTCTACTCGAAATCGCTCACAGACACGCAGAAACGATATTCACAGACGGACCGGGAAGGATTGGCGGTGATTCTGGGGGTCCGCCGCTTTCATCATTGGTTGGCAGGTCGGGAATTTGTTATCCGGACCGATCATAAGCCCCTCCTGGGCATGCTGGGGGAGAACAAGCCGCTGTCCATGATGGCTTCACCGCGAGTGACTCGATGGGCAATGCTGTTGTCGGGCTATCAGTACAAGCTAGAGTATGTACCAGGATCGAGACAGGGACACTGTGATGGTCTCAGCCGTTTGCCTCTTCCGACAGCTGCTGGAGACTTGCCAGAGCCCGGCGAGACTCTGCACCTGGTGGAGATGATGGACGCTTCGCCAGTGACCGCCGCTGTGGTTCGACTGGCGACTGAACGTGACGCCACCCTCAGCAGAGTGCTGCAGTACACCCGAGACGGCTGGCCTGAGGACAGGAGCGGCGAGTCACCGGAGTTAAGTGCATATCGCACGAAGCAAGGTGAGCTCAGCATCCAGAACGGATGTCTCTTGTGGGGAGCTCGAGTCGTCATTCCAGTAAAGTTGCGGGAGAGGGTGCTACAGATGTTGCATGACGGTCATATGGGAGAGAGCCATACCAAGGGGTTTGCCAGAATGTACGTGTGGTGGCCAAACCTAGATTTTGACATAACCCAGATGGTTAAGGCGTGTGTGACCTGTCAACAATACCGCCACCAAGCGCCCGTCACGCCACTGAGTCCGTGGTCCCTCCCGTCCCGGCCATATGAGCGGGTGCACATTGACTACTGTGGCCCAGTGGAGGGGAAAATGCTGCTCATTGTAGTGGATGCATATACCAAGTGGATTGACGTACATGTAACAACTAGGGCAACAACCGAGGTTACTATGGAGGAGCTGCGGAAAACGTTTGCATACTGGGGAATTCCCAAGTTCTTGGTATCAGACAATGCTCAGTGTTTCGTGGCACCCGCGTTCCAGTCATTCTGTACTCAGAATGGTATCACACACCTGCGCACTGCGCCGTTGTCTCCAAAAAGCAACGGTCTGGCTGAGCGGGCAGTGCAGACGGTGAAGCAGGGTCTGAGGAAACAGGGGAATGGAACGCTGCACACCAAGCTGGCAAGGGTGCTGTTCACCTACCGTTCATCTCCCCACAGCACTACCGGAGTGACGCCAGCAGAGCTAATGACCGGGCGGCGCATGAGAACTCGTCTCGACTGTATGCTTCCCAGTCTGCAGGATCGTGTTGTCAGCTCGCAGTGGAAGATGAAGGAGCGGTATGATAGACAGGCACAGCGGCGCACCATACTACCAGGAATGTCTGTCCTCGTTTCACAGGTGTCGGGACTGGCCGGCGTCGGCAGGACAACACGCTGGCTACCCGGACACTGCATCAACATCTCGGGACTCAAGCTCACGGTCCGGCTGGACGACGGACGAGTCCTCCAGCGCCATCTGGACCAGGTGGTCCCGAGAGCGGTCGCCGGGAACCAGGCCGTCCGACAGCCGACGGACTGGACGGCGGCGCCGCGGCCTCCTCAAACGCCGCCGACGTCGCTGCCGACAACTCCAACGTCGCAGGCGACGCCTTCACCGCCGACGCCCTCACCGCCGACGCCTTCACCGCCGACTCCCACGCCGCTTCCGCCACCGCCAGCGGAATGTCCGGAACGGGAGAGGCCTTCGTCTCCCTCCCCAGTGGGGCGGCCGGCTCGTGGGTTGGAGGGACGGGGTGAGCTCAACTCGCGATTGAAGTGTGACGTCCAATTGTCGCGAGGCGAGAGTGTTGAGTGTCGCGAGCCTGTGTCAGCGCCGCAGGTACCGCGCTATAACCTGAGACCGAGAAAATAGTTGTTAACTAGGGGGGAGGAATGTGGTAGATTGTCACACAGGCCACAGCCTCTTGGCTGGCGTGCCTGGGTGCGCCACTGGCCGCCCTATCCGTCGTCCCTGAGAGCGGGCTTGCGCTCGCTTGACCTATAGCCGGGGGCGCTCAGCTGTGCGGTGTGGGTTGAGTCTGGTCAGCTGATCGAGTGGGAATACAGTTCTGACCGGTGATCGGAGGAGTGTGGTGCTGTGGTGCCGAGCTTAGTTCACGCTATAACAGCTACCATGGGGCCGGCAGGACGAGCCGCCCACCTGCCGAGCCTCCCACCTCTGTGTACGCAGCCAACGGACTGCCCAGGGAACCAGGGAGCCACAGCGCGTCGACCAGTGGCCTGTTTCTACTGGGCCAAAATCACTATATAGCTCGCTGCGAACAGTTCCAGAGACTGACACCGAAAGACAGACTGTCGGGGTTAATACGAAGAAAGCCTGCGCCGCTGTTCTCACACATCCCACCAGTCATCTGACTGTCACCGAACAGGACCGTGTGGCATAGAAAACTGCACGCAACATCATCATCGACTTCTACACCCGGCTCAAGGAAGCACGACTGTGATCAACGCGGCGAAGGATGGACACACGTCCATTCTGATGAAAACGGTCGTCATCGAAGTCTCCGGCTCCACAAAACGAAGGTGTGTCGCCTTCCTGGACGAGGGAAGCTCAGTCACGCTCATGACTGATAAGCTGGCACAGGAACTGGGACTTCACGGGAAGCGTCAAAATCTGCGCATCAAGACAATGTCTGGACTGACTTCAGTCAACTCGTGTGAACTCACCCAGGTGACCATCGAGAACATCCATACCGGTTCAAACACCTGCTGGATAAGGTGGCTACTGTTCCCGAGCTGCAAATAGACAAGAATCCCGTGACGGCAAAACTGAAGCGCATGTTTCCCGAGATCGAAGAAATTGGGATCAAACAGCTGGATGAGCCGCCTCAGATGCTGATTGGCCTTGACCACGCGGAGCTCATCGCCACTCAGAAGATCATCAAGACGTCGAAGAATGGTCCTCTGCTCCAGGAAACGAAACTGGGATGGACCATAACTGGGCGCGTCATCGCTACGGAAGACACCGAGACAGAGTGCGTAAACTTTCTGAACAAATCTCTGAACATGTATCGGGACGACAGCGCTGGCAGCGCCGCCTACTCAACCGACAGCGACTGCAGCGACATCTGCACGGCTGGGAGTGCTGGCGATCTGAGCGACATCTGGAGAACAGAGCACTTTGGCTGCAAGTATGCCTTCAGTAAGCCGCACAGCCCAGATGACAGGAAAGCGGAAACGATGCTACAAGAAGGGGCAAAATACGACGGAACAAGATGGACAGCCCCGCTTCTGCTCAAAAACGAAGATGAGAAGATGCCTGAAAGTCGAACGATGGCAGAACAGAGAGCCATTGCCTTGGAAAAACGACTGGATCGCTCTCAGCAAAAGAAAACGGCAAAACACCAAGTCTCGCCGAGCTGGTGTACGAAAAATGGAGAGAATGGTATCAGACGGCCATTTTCGAAAACTGAGTGAAAATGAAGCCCAAGAAGGACACAAGAATGTCTGGTATCTCCCACTGCTCGCGGTGCAAAATCAGAAGAAGCCGAACAAGGTGCGCCTAGTGCTAGACGCTGCCGCGAAGAGCAATGGCAAGAGCTTGAATGACTTTCTTCTCCAAGGGCCAGACCACATGAACTCTATACCGGGGATTCTGTGCCGCTGGCGGGAGAAAAGAGTAGCAGTGACCTCTGACGTCATAGCTATGTTCAGTCAGATCAAAGTGCGAGAAGAAGACCGACCACTTCTGAGATTTCTGTGGCGGGGCTCACGTCGCACGGGCCGATTTGATGTGTACGAGTCTCCGGTGGTTATTTTCGGTGCCACCTGCTCACCAAGTATCGCTGAGCACTGCTTCCGGCGCACGGCGGACGAATTCACCGAAGACGAGGCAGTGAAGACAGCCGTACGAGAGGACACCTACGTGGACGATATTGTCACCGGTACAGACACCGAACACGAGGCAGTGAAACTGATTGGCAGCGTCACAGAAACACTCAAGAAAGGAGGCTTCAAGCTGGGCCCGTGGGCCTCAAACTCTGAAGAAGTCCTCCACACCGTCCAACAGGAGCAAGAACAGCAAGACAGTCGGCTGCAAAGAACGTTAGGAGTCGGCTGGGAAGCTCGCCTCGACACTCTAACCTATGAGCCAATCGCTCCGCCGGAACAGCTAACGAAGAGAACACTTCTATCGACAATGATGTCGGTGTACGATCCGATTGGATTCTTGACAGGATTCCTCCTGAGAGCGAAGGAGCTGTTGCAAGTCCTGTGGAAGTCAAGCGTCAAATGGGACCAAGAACTACCGAGTGAAGTCCAGCAGAAGGTGAAGATGTGGATGGATGAGCTGACGCAGACGAGAGATCTACACATCCCACGTCACATCTTTCGTCAGGAGGCCGGCATCTCTTCTGTCGATCTGCACGCGTTCTGCGACGCAAGCGAGATGGGGTTCTGTGCAGTGCTATACTATCGATGGATCGACTCGACTGGCTGCATTCAAGTGAGCTTTATCTCTGCTCATTCTCGCGTTGCTCCCGTGAAGAAAATGTCTATCCCAAGACTCGAGCTTCAAGCTGCCGTCCTGGCCAGCAGAATGATAGCCTTCATCAGAAAAGAAACACGGACCGGCATCAAGTCGACAACATGTTGGTCGGATTCGAAGAACGTGCTTGCTTGGCTGCGCAGCACGAACCGAAGATACAGTGTATTTGTCGCAAACCGTATTGCGGAAATACACGACGTCACGGGGCCGGCTGACTGGCGTTACGTGCCGACGGCGATGAACGCCGCAGACTCTGGCTCCAGAGGCCACAAAATCGAAGATTTGTGTCCTGACAAGGAGTGGATTCGAGGGCCAGAGTTCCTCTACAAACCGGAGACAGACTGGCCAGATGACTGCTCAGATGCAACCGGCATTCTCGAGACGGACATGGAATCCAAACCGGTGGTGCTCGCTACAACAGTGAAGATCGAGCCCAATTTTCGAGAAAGCACGCCAGATCTTTCCCGATTCTCGCGCTGGACAGTGGCGGTGCGCACTGCGGCCAGAATACGAAGATGGCTCAAACTTGTCCGAGAAAGAAAACGCGGACCACTCACGGCTGATGAACTACGTGAAGCGGAAGAAATATGGACGAGAAGGGTCCAGGGTGATTCTTACCGTGTTGAACTCATATGTCTTCAACAAGGACATCCGAACAAAAACAAGAGCCAGCTCTCAGGCATGACCGTTGGGTTGTTGGACGGCATCATTTGCCTCGACTCTCGCGTGAAGCGGTCTCCAGAGCTGTCACCGACTGCGAGAAATCCGCCGGTGCTAGCCCGTGACCACAAATACACGGAGCTACTGATCGAGCACCTGCACCAGAAATGGGACACCGAGCGCACGACGCAGTTCTGGGCCCTGTTCATGAAGTCTGCGGCCGCTGCGGCCGGCCGCAGGCTCTAAGCTCCGCCCATTTATGAAACGTCATCACTCACTCGGCCGCAGCAGCGTTCCATGAACAGCGTCTGCTGCCGAAATAGTTTCCGACAATTGTTTACAACTGAAGCACACCGGTAGATAATTTGTTTACAAAAATCGTCTCCATGACAACACGGCCTGCGCCTATTTGACTTCAGTGCGCCAAGTTCAGTGCAATTAGTTTTCTTGAGGCTCGGCGGTCGCTGGATTGCGGCCGCAGAGATCGCAGCGGCCGCAGCAAGATGACGTCATACATTCGTCATACTACATGAGCCCCGCCCCTTTTTGTGACGTAACAACCCGGCTGGCCGCAGCGACCGCAGCGGCCGCAGCGACCGCCGGGGTTCATGAACAGGGCCCTGGTGAGCCTCCGACAGAAGTGTTGGGTGCCGCAAGCCGCTCGCAAGATTCGCTCGCTTGTGGCAAGATGTCAGACCTGTAGGGTGCGGAAGGGGAAGCCACAGACGACAAGAATGGCTCCGCTTCCGTTGGCCCGAGTCACTATGCTCGAAGGCGCCTTTCGGGCGACTGGTATGGACTATTTCGGCCCGATGAAGGTGAAACGGGGGAAGACAGTGTCGAAGATCTGGGGCGTACTGTTTAGGTGTCTAGCCACGCGTGCCGTGCACATAGAGCTGACGGACAGTCTGGACACTGACGCGGCCCTGATGGTGATATCAAGATTCCAGGCGCGACGAGGAAACGTGCAAGAACTATGGTCAGATAATGGCAAGAATCTCACCTCGGCAAACAAGGCTCTGAACAAGCAACTCAGAGCGTTGAACCAAGACCAGATGATGGCAAAGCTGTCTCTGGAGGGAATCAAGTGGCGATTCATCCCGCCGTCCGATCCTGAGGCAGGTGGCGCTTGGGAGCGCGCCTCGTACGGTGAAAGACACGCTAAAGATCGTCTTGAAGGAGCAGACCCCGCGGTTCGAGGTGCTACAGACGGTCATGGCAGAAGTGGAGAAAATCATCAATCGACGCCGCTGTTCCACGTCCCAGTGGATGCAGCTGATGACGATGTGCTCACGCCGTTCCACTTCCTCATCGGCCGCGCTACCCTGCTTACCCGGTGGGCTCGCAGGTGCAAAGCAGTGAGTGTCTTCGTCGAAGATGGAAGCACGCTCAGGTGCTAGCCGACCATTTCTGGAGAAGATGGGCACGAGAATATCTCCCTACGCTAGCAAACAGATCGAAGTGGATCCAGTCGTCTCGCAACGTGGAGGAGGAGACGTGGTGATCGTTGCAGATCCTCAGCATCCCGTGGACTGTGGGTCAGAGGAGTGGTCACGGACACTGTGCGTGGCCCTGATGGAGTGGTGCGATCGGCTCGCGTGCGGACGGTGCATGGAGTGCTGCACCGCGCCGTTCGCAAACTCGTAGTGCTACAAGTACTTCGCTGTACATAAGATGTGCCTATCGCGAGCCATCCGTGCCGCGAGTGAAGTAATAGAACATGCCAGCCGTCACATATTGTCTC